CGTTGCGCTTGGTAACAGTCGCGCGGAATGCGGAATCCGTTTGTTGTCGGGGAATGTGAATAATTTGTATGGCGAGTCGTGAATCGTGGGATTCCTGGCTAACCGATGTGTCCATACATTCGAATCCACCCTCGATCGTATGCAATAGATTTCCAAAATAATACGACATCCCCGTACACCCCTCCTCCCTTCTCCCTCGATCGTCGACGTAATGGATTCGTAACGTTGCTACGATCGAAAACAAGCCTCGAAGCTATATATATAAAACAAATCCATTCGAGGGAACCTCGAGGCAAAACTCTGTCATAAACAGAGAGAAGGAGGAGGATCGAAGGATCGAAGGAAATAGCCGTGCAAAGGGGTGAAAAGTTCGGAAACGATCGGTGGAAGGAAAGGCATTTTTCTCCCCTTTGTGATTCGATTTTCTTTTCCAGACAGAGAATGGAGAGGCAGAGTGACAATGCGCGCGGCCAAGAATACAATTCGGAATTCTTTCGCGAGTTCTCCCTCTCTCCCCTCCTCACCACCTCCCGTGAAAAGCGCAATTCTATCCGGAATTGCGGATGCGCGAATTTGCTTTCAAAGTATCCGCAAACTCGTCGACAGAGAGGCGACAGAACGAGCGCTAGTGGAAGATTAGAGGCCGGTGGGTGGCTTCGCTTGGTGGAAAAAGCGAATCCGCTCGATCTGCTCGGCACAAAAGGATCCGCGAGGCGGAGAAAGGTGGAAGAAACGTGAGGGAAGGAGGGAGGGAAGAAGGGAGGGAAGAAGGAAGGAAGGAAGGAAGAAAAGGACTATTGGAAAATAGAAGGAGACAAAGGGGATGGTTCGGTGGCTGCCACCACCGATTCTCGATGCTTGATGCTCCTTGCCTTTTGGCCATCGTCAAAGGACGAAAATTGAACCGCAGGAAGCTGGAACCTACAACCGAGATTGTGGAAAGTCCCGACCGCTGTGGACGCGCTGAATTTTTCTCCCGTCGTGAAAGGGAAAAATTTCGCGAGTGAAAAAGAAGAAGAAGAAGGAGGAGGAGAAGAAGAAGAGGGATGACATCGATCTTCGAGAGAATTGTCAATGTTGAAATTATATCTTGAAAGTTGGGAAATAAAGAAGTACGGTGAAGTACAGGTATTGGATTAATCGTAAGTCTTTCGAGAGATTGGCTTCCGGCTTGTTTTATCGAGCCACGTCGTGAAGGTACGTCGGATGAAGGGAAGTTTCTTCTCGTTTAACGAGAAAACAACGTAATGGGAAATCGCGTTTTAATGAAGTGAACGGTATAAGCGGAATATACTCGTGAAACATTATAATTATAGGAGGGTGGCAATGATCGAAGAGATAAAAGGGGGAGGGTTTTTCTTCTCCGACAGAAGAATGACTATAATACCGTTCCACGTCGCCTGGCTTTGGAACCAAGCCTCGAAAGTTTCTTCGTTCTTCATGAAGGATAAGATAAAGAAAAAGTCCTCTTTATGAACGCTATAAACAAGAATGGTGATAAAAATAGTGAGAAAAGATAGTGAAAAGAGAGGAATAACTTTCTCGACGATTCTCGATTCTAATTTTTCACTCTAACGCATCCCTCAATCCCAAATTGAGACAAACGATCGATCGAATCGACTTTGAAAAATTAAAATGATCAAGCGTCCTTCAAAATATTTCTAACAGCAAAACTTTAGAAATTTTCACTCCGCGGATTAAAATTTCCAGTAACAAGTAGGATGGTTAAGGTAAAAAAGATGTAGAAAAAGAAAAAAAGAAAAAGAAAAAAAGTAAAGCACAGTTTCCAGACACCTGATGTCTCGAATAGGAGCGCAAAATTAATCATGCGAGGCGTTCCCTAAGCTTCAACACTGCCTGGTATTGTTAATACTCTTTCTGGCACGCGTCCAAGCACAAAGGTAAAACAGCATTAGCACGTGCGATGCTTCCAATACCAGCCTGCCCTTTTATATGTACGTACGATCGCGAGCATAACGGTTCGCGTGGGTGTGTGTACGCGAGAATACACGTACTATCACGTGTGGAACGTGTGACAGCATTTCTCGTGGTGACCTTGTGGTTGTGAAAATTTAATTAAAACGCGGTCCCGACGCGAGTTCTTGCGCCGGACAACGCGCGTAACTTGACAAGATCTCGCCACGACGACGTGTTCTCCTTTCACTTTGGTAAATTGCGGGGAATAGAATCGTGCTAGAAAATCGTGTCGTGGAATATTTCGTGAGAAGGAGAAGGATACTATGGATTGTCCGTATTTAGCCTTATTTGGACTGGGAACATTCATTTTTATAAAGAAGATGTTGCGTAATTGGTTTGAGAAATTGTATAATGAAAGATCTTTAAGATATAAAGATATCTACTTGAAGTTAAAACAGTTCTAAAAGACGTAGCGTTTGATGAAAGAGGAACTGAACGATGTCGAGAATTGTTAAACTTTCATATAATAATTTCTGTGTATACGTATATATTCGAGTTGGATGGTGGAATTTCTTGGAAAGTGGAAAGAAAATTATATAATCTAAAAATCTTGTTTGAACTTTCGTAATAATAAATATTTTTCTTTCTCTTTCTCTCTCTCTCTCTTTTTGCAAATGAATTATACCGTCACGATGAATTATCACGGAAGAAAAATATTTCGAACTTGAAGGAATAGATATATTTAATAACCGTGCACTACAATAACGGAATAACACGAGAGATAAAGAAACGAGCGTTGAAGAGCGTTAATAATAATTTATTGGCTCGAGTGGAATTCATTTGTCATAATTTCATGGAAAAACACGTGACACGTAGATGAAAATATTATAACGAAAATGTTATATCAAAGCTAATTAATGGATCAACCATGTACAGGGTGGATATAATTTATCCTTATGCGAAACAGCTTTATTAATTCGAAAAATACTTTGAAATTTAATTAGAACGATGAAAAATAATCCCAGAAATTTATCACTACTTTGATTTCATTATTACTTATTTCTAACAATAATTCCCTCCCCCCCTTTTTTCAGCGTTGAGCCTGCTATGTGTAAAAAAATTCTCCGGCAGCGGCACGATGCTGGAAGCACCGCCCGGAAGTCGCGAGGACCTCGTGGAGGCGGCAAGAACACCGTGCACACCTACAGGTTAGCACGCATTTCGCAATTTTATTGGAAAGTTTAAACGAACATTTAAAAAAGATTAACTTAACTTTCACGCTAATCCATCTTAATTAATGAAAAACAATATCGAAATATCGTGAAGATAAAAGTGTCAAATTATCACGGATGACACGTTCGATTATAGAACCCACCTTAATACTCGCGAATCACTTGTGAATCGTAACGATATCGCGTACACGAATGAAGAAGAAATGTCGAAATATGAGGACAAAAATATCAAATTATCACGGATGACGCGTTATAGAACCCACCTTAATACTTGTGAATCACTTGTGAATCGTAACGATATCGCGTACACGAATGAAAAAGAAATGTCGAAATATCGTGAAAACAAAAATATCAAATTATCACGGATGACGCGTTATAGAATCTACTTTAATACTTGTGAATCATTTGTGAATCGTAACGATATCGCGTACACGAACGAAAAAGGAATGTCGAAATATCACGAGGATAAAAGTTAAATTAAAGAACGAATAATGGGTTCGATTTTAGAAGCCAAGGTATTTCAGGATAAAATATCGAATTCGTGTTTATCATAAACTTTAAATGGACACCGGCATTCAAAAGTTTCGACACGAGTCGTAAATTGGACGAATAAATAATGAAAATGGTAAAAGTAGCACGATACCGTAACCGTTGCCATAGTTTCGCCCAGAGTTATTGGCAGCGTGTGTGCATTTTCATTCGTATCAATTTCGAGGATTACGGAGTTGGTAGCTTCCACAACCGGGTCGGTAAATTTCAATCTTTATCTACCGGTCTACCGGTAATTCCAGGTTCGAGCCGATCGTTAAAGCGGGACAGATGTCGTATCCCGGGGTTGGGTTGAACAGCGGGAAAAATGTTCGATGCGTGGCTAACCGGAAACCTGAAAAACCTTCTGAATCGCGAGTGATTAACCCAGTTCGCGTACCGTAATTAAACTTTAGGCCGCGTGTACATCCGAATGCAAAAAACAGCGTGTCCCAACACCCTCGCGGACAGAGGAAAAAAAGATTAAACCTTCTTTTTCCTGGATATTTTTGTATTTATTTTTTTTTCTTTTTTTTTCTTTTTCCCCATCGAGTATATTTTCCCCCTCTTTTTTTCCCCATCGCATTTTGGGTCACACGTTAACGCAAAAATATTCCTTCGTAACGAATGAAACAATAAATCCACCGAGTTATAATACCGTATACAAAATAGGTCGTATACGAAATTTTTTCTTTCCACGAGTTTCCAGAAAATTAAATTCCCTCGTATTCCAGGGAGAAATCACGTTTCCGGAAACATTTTCTCACGATACATTCCCTCCTTCTTAACGAGCAATCTCGAAATGAGAAACCAACCGACCATTTGCTAAATGAAAGCGGCAAATGGGGAGAGAGAGTCTCCGGATCGGCGAATAAGGTTGACGAACAATCGAGAACCGAGCCGCGATTGCCCGGAAAGGATCATCGGTCGAATGGTTATTTCGCGTGGGACAACAGGTGCACGCGAAAAACATTTTTTGGAATTGCATCGTTTCCACCATTTATTAGCCCCGCTTTCGGGAGTTCCCAAGTATCCCCGAGTATATATCGATGCCAAGAGTCGAATTACATACGCGAATTAACTTGCATCTAAGAATCGAATCGAACGAAAGGGAAAAAATCGTTGGAAAAATCGTCCCATTTCAGTTCCATTCGACCGACTTTATCCCTTATCCCCGGTTAAAATAACCGACGGCGAAGCTTTGAATGAAGGGAAGAACACGATCGATGATACTCACACTTCCTGTCGGCATTATTATCTCCGCAACTCTAATAGAGGGCGGTTCTTTTTTATCCCGATGGAGTGGCAGTGTCTCACGATGATCTACGGTCTCTGACTTTGCGCCGTGTCGGTTATGGGGCGGGTACTTTTTATCGAGATCTATCCGGCAAGAATTTCAGTTCAGAGTTAACCCCGAACGGCTCGTCCACCCTACGGATATAACGAAACACGATGGATTATAAATAATAAAAAAGAAAGGAAAAAGACGTTAAACGAAAAAGGGGGCAAGCATGGAAAAACATGTACGGTTTCGAGGATGTATTATTAGGTTCAAGGGCGAGCGTGAAGGGTCTAAAAATAAGGCAACCTTTCCCCCTTGTAATTTTAGACGTTACAGAGGATGCAATGGAAGCGAAAATTACGCGTTCGACACCTTCGTAACCAACCTCGATCTCTTGGAGAGGAGGACAGCGGCTCGGTCAGACACGGCTCGTGCCGTGTTTCCCCTCTTCCCTCCTCCCTCCCCC